TTTTATGTAAGGCGGAAAGACTAAGAACTTCAGAGTCGATGAGAGACTGCGCAGCGGATGCACAGATATTACAGGGACATGTAAAAATATGAGTATAATAATTAGAATCACGTTTATAAATAACGGTATAACAAGAGAGAGCATAGCAATCTATTTATCAAGACGTTGTTATATCCTGGGTTCGTAAGATTTCCATCTTATCAGTGCATTATGTGCTTTTTTGAACAGCATCATAGCCACTCTCCAAGTGTGTGGAGCATTTTCCTCTTCGTGACTAGAGTACAACAGTATCTCTACTGGTTCTATTCTTTCCTTCCTTTTTCAGTCCACTGGGTTTCATATATGCTCAAAACCGCGAATTTTTGTGTTTTCTCATTTCCATAGCTAACTGACTGACCCTCCCAATCTTCCACATTGTCCGAAAATTCCATGTACCTATACGAATTGTTGCTCTAGTTGTTATAAGGGACGTCAACTTCGTGAATTCGGAAGAATTTCGACTTTCACGATGAGGCGTCAAATTTCCTCTCACAGAATGTCCTTGAACTTTGAGAACAGAGTTGGAATGGGTTAATTCCTTTATTCTGATTAGCGTATTTTAGGAAGGTCGATTTCTACTCTATAGGGTGACTGACTCTACGCCCAACCCTCCTTGACCCGTTCTTGTGAACAACAGTAACCATAGAAAAGCTACAGGCGGAGTTGAGTAGCCTCTAGTCGCATTAGTTTTATGTGCTTGTGGTGTGAGGTATTTCTATGTCCCAATGTGTGCGACACGCTCAATAGTTGGGGAACATGTTGTGGAAATCAACTAAAAACTAAAAGGATGAGCTAAGTTAATAGATTTGAATTGAGTAATAGTTTGATTTTACCTTCATTGCCGAAGGACTCCTGTAGCGGTAAATAAATGCCCAAAATCAATAGTGCATGATATAGGCACAATAGTTATTATTAGGGATGCATAGCACTGATTATTAGATAATGATCTGGTGCGGATGCGTGTTCACTCAGTAAAACTAATGAGGTTAGTGTCGATGTTGTAGACTTACAGAACAATTTGTTTTGGGTATTTTAGTATCTCTACACTGACTGTTCGGAGGAGGAAAAGTGTGCCACCTGAGTCGTGTCAAGATCTGATCATAGCTCCCAACCTAGCAGTATCCACTAGAACTAAGAAGAATGACTTCAGTGATAAGTGTTGATATGTTGAATTATGGTCTACTATGATATTAGTACTGCTCTAATAATAGACCTAATCCTAAAATTGTAGCTTTGTCGTGATATAACTGACTAATCTATAAGATCTTACGTGGAAGTCACACCATCGACTACACCAGCACACTGTATCGTATCAATTACCAATACATGGTGTAGAACAAGGTTAGTCTAGAGAAGGAACAATATATTTAATATGAATAGAAGATATAAGGTAACATTCAGAAGGACCACGCCTGCATGGTCGAGCCATGCCATCCGATCAACTCCAATCCATTCAATTCATTCTCCGCGCCTTCTCCATTGTTAGGTATTTCCCCGAGTTAAATATTGAATATCTATTTTCCGAGTAGTCTCGTGTTCACAGCTTTGTGGATTGTGTGGCTATTGTCCAATGCCACTACACTACTCTCCCACCAGAATCAACGTGATGTTGGTTCGATACCAAATTGGATGGGATCGTCGCGCGCCGGAGGTTACCAAGGATAATAAGGATCCTCCGGGTATTGATAAGCTGAAAGATAAATAAAAAAGACGGCAGCATCTGGTCGGGAAATACATGTAATAATCTTAAAATATCTGCTTTCATGATTAACACGCTTAAAATGAAAATTTGGTTGAAGATTATTTGAACTATAAAAAATGGGATTACAATAATAATAATAAAACGATGCGTGTTAATAACTTAACTTATAGGTAGTAATTATTTTGTGTTTAGAAATATTAAAATAATGAATATTGTAGAAATGTTAATATTGGTATTAGTTTTGGTTTAAATCATGAAATCAGATAACGATTATGCCGGTAAGTTGTCCATAAGAGTTGAATTCCAATTGCATCTGTATTAGTAGGCTAACTGAAGGAACAAAAGTATACCGTGGAGAAGAATTCTAACTAGTGTTCCAGTTAGTTTGATACGGTTTATTTAGTTACGGGGAGATTTTCTCAACCTCATTTTTACTTGACCGTGATAGAATTTAGTAATACTACTAATACACATGAATGGTTATCAAAATAAAATTTAAATACATGAGTGATAATTATATGAATTTTGGACAGATAGCTAGGGACAAATCGTTAAACATGAGTGTATTCGTAAGAGACATGCTCTGGACTCAATGTTCTGATCTGCGGCAGACTATTTATTTATATTTATACTTGCTGGCTAATTGGGCATACAAGTTAGTTGCAAGTATGCAGTTTATCATAAGGCGGAATACGATTTAATTGAGATATAGTGGTTATAAGTTATTAAAATCAGTTAGGCCTGTGTCATATTACGAAGTGATGTGGTGCTGCAAGATGTATTCGGCTAAATAAGCTTTTACAAGATGATTAACCGTGAGTGATGCTCATGTGATTATCAGGGAGTACATAAGTTGTAACCAAGGGGAGTACACTCCCAACTCATGTCTATGATAATGGCTTGAACCTTAGTCAGTGTTGGGGTAAATTCGACATTGATGTTTTCAGTTTGCAGGAGATTTGCTCGACTGCTTATACTGATTATTTGCATGCATGATTGTGTCGCTAAACCATCAATTAGACTGACAAGGTTTTGAGATATTTACTGAATGAGCAACTAGTAGAGAAACATACTGTAATCATCTGTAGTGAATGAAGATAAAAGAAAAACAACACTAGTGATAATTGTGAGTCGATTTGCTGACCGATTTTGTTAATAGTTTCATTAATTTTATCAATCATATTACGTGATTGTCAAGTCATGACAATGCTTTATGACGATATCCTGAAACTATTACGTTTAGCTAGTTATAGTGTTGATTGAGGATTAGTCAGTAGAAAAATAGGTATTGTTGCTCTAGGTGATTCGAAATTATCAGAAATTTATAACGTTAAAGAATCCGAGACGCCTAATTTAATTATAAATTTTAATTCAGAAATATTCGTTTAGTGTTAATTCTAGTAGGCTACGGAGTCTTGATTTTAAACGTTTGTTTAGCTAACAGCTACCTGGGGATTTAGTTATTTTACTAGTGCAGTTGACAGTACCTAAATTTTTAATCCTATTATCTAAACTATGTTCGCATTTTAGGCTGCTAATATGATAAACCAATCCATAAACCCAAATACGATTAGCAACAACGACTATGGTGGGTTTATTGATAAATGTTAAAGGCGACTCAGATGATTCCTAAATTTAGAAGACATGAAGATATAGTGTAACGTATGTGTGGGCCAGGTCAACAAGCAGGTTGTTGACGTATATGACAATTTAAAAATAATGAACATGACCAGATAAATAGTTTTAAAGTTAAGACTGCTTGTGAAACTTCAGGCAGGAATATGATGCGTTATAAACATTCCATAAGAAGTTACTGTATTTAGCTTAGTGACACAAATATATGGCAAAAGCAACTGAAAAACATATACATCTTAAGTACAAAAAAAATCATCCAGTAAAATAGTTGAACTCGCCTTGATTATTTCTGAAAATTAGATTATTCAGTGGACGACATATATAAAGCCATTCGTGAGGAGTAGTAATGATCCAAAAGTATCCAGAATAAAACATGCAGTATGGTAATCACTTTCAGGGTGCTCGATGCTGTTGACGTTTTTGGGACTCGCTCTGATCAGAACAACTGAATGAATCCAGATAATTGTGTGTGCCATTGAATGAACCATCTAAAATGAACTTATGATTGCAGAAAACTTATAGCTGGAACTCACCGTGTTTTTGGAGAAGTGTCATCCTTGTTGTTTGGCAATGGAACTCGAAATATGAAATTAGGCAGGCAGTGGTCGGAAGGAAAGATATTACAGGATAGTGTATAGTTTAAAAACAGGATGTGTTAAGTGAAGGAACAATAAGAATTAGATCCAGATAACTATCTAGTCCTTGATTGCATTGTTAGTCGATGTATATTCACGTTATTTTTAGATAGAGCTAGATGTTTAAACAAGTTTATTCCGCAGAAGCATGTAAATGCTATTAAAGCTTGTTGATGAACCATCAAAGCTAATTGATATAGATAACCGGTTATTGGTATCGATTGAGTTAGTATGTTATGAGTACTAACCAATATAACATTACGATAATGCTTGTGAGCATTAATCAGAGGACTATTAGAATAATGGATTTACACAAATAAAAGTCGATTGAGAAGGTTAAGGCGGATCTAAGGATTAGCAATATCAGGCTGCGTTTCTTTAGTTGGGCTCACCAATGTTGAATTATGGTCTACTATGATATTAGTACTGCTCTAATAATAGACCTAATCCTAAAATTGTAGCTTTGTCGTGATATAACTGACTAATCTATAAGATCTTACGTGGAAGTCACACCATCGACTACACCAGCACACTGTATCGTATCAATTACCAATACATGGTGTAGAACAAGGTTAGTCTAGAGAAGGAACAATATATTTAATATGAATAGAAGATATAAGGTAACATTCAGAAGGACCACGCCTGCATGGTCGAGCCATGCCATCCGATCAACTCCAATCCATTCAATTCATTCTCCGCGCCTTCTCCATTGTTAGGTATTTCCCCGAGTTAAATATTGAATATCTATTTTCCGAGTAGTCTCGTGTTCACAGCTTTGTGGATTGTGTGGCTATTGTCCAATGCCACTACAGATAACGCTAAATATTTTGGATCTACATATAACTCTGCGGTGTTCGTTCGAAATAATCATGATCAGGCACACTGAATAAAGCTACATAAATTGGATAAAAAGTTCACTGCACTAATGTGCTTAGTTTAAAAACCAAACGAATTTTCTTTTAATAATTGTTCGAACAGCGTAACCTAGACAACCGCGCGGCGTTTTCGAAATTGGGCCGTTGTTACAGGTTCAAAAGGTCATGTTTAGATTTCTAGTGGCACTTGCAGAGTCTTTTTAAACAGGACTGTGTTATCGCTGGCTTACTTCAACGTTTTCCATTAATTAGAGTAATTTCGTTTCGCACAATTATCGAACGGTCGCCGATCTTGTTATTCTCTTCAGCTGTCTTGACACAGTAAACACTATAATCTCCCACAACACTCAATATAATTTCAGGATAAATGAAAAGCACTACAACATATTGGTCTCATGTTTGTTTCTTATGTGAATGGTGAAAAGTCTTAAAGGAGACAATGATATTGTTGACAGATATTATGAAGACCCAGCACGTGATATTTACCGTCTGAACATCAAAAAGCCCTTAAATCACAGTTTTCTGACGTTTGGAAATTCATCATCTCTTTCCGTTTACTCCAGCAGCGGCAACAACGGGGTTGTCGTTAAGAAAAACGTTTCGTTACGGAAAAACTCTTCTCAGCGGTCGAAGCTTTGTATAATTTTATAGTATGCATAAATTACTTGAAAAACTGAATATATGTGGCTCCTGGTATGTTTGGCTGTAGAATAAATTTCTTCGTGGTATTTCGTTTTTTTGTGTGCCCAGTATTCGGTATTTTGGTCTGAAGTTTTAGTCATGAGCTCTTCAGTGGCTGTCCCTGTGAAGAAGACTAAGTTGTCGAAGCCTAAGACGCCGGTCAGTCACCCGCCAGTAATCAACATGATCAATGCGGCAATAAATTTTTTTTGTTCAGAAATTATACGCTCAACTCTTCAGCGATATAGTTTCGACATTTCGAAGGAATAACAGTTTCCCTAGTATCTATGTAAATACCCGAAGTTCCCTTATTTTTTCAGCGGCGACTCTAATTTATGGACGATCTTTGAACGAATCTTAAGCGAACTTGAGAAATATTAGCCAATCAACAAACAGTCGGTATAGAGTAAAAATATGTTATACAAAACCAAGGAAATAAAGTGGATACACTTATACGTGGTTCAAAAACTTGTCAATGTTAGAAAGAGGTTCTAAGATCGTAATGCATGCAGCAGAGGAAATCATCCATACGGCTACAGAATGGTCGGCCTCTGGAGCCATGATAAAGTCTCAAAAACTCTTTCAGCTTCGACCACATAGCTTCAATATTGTTTATGTGCACTCCGGTTGTTGGGTGCACAAAATGCTACTTGTGGATAACGACACGATGCACATAACCGAGCCTATGTAGGAGTCTACACTCTCCAAACATCCGTATATATTGTAATGCCTGGCTGCAGCCAGTGTTACTAGTGCTTTTATTATGCAGTTCGCAATAATTTTCGTAATTTGCCTTAGTTGGGAATTATATATGTGGTTTTCATCACGAACTGACATCAGCTATAGTTCCAGAAATTTATTTAGCCAAATGGATGCAAGATTATCGTGTTAAAATCCGAGATCTATTATCTTGTACCTAATTATTTCGCCCACAAATTATAGTCCCGCCGTTTTATTTGTTATAGCCTCTCTATTATCACATTTTATATAAAATTCCCTGTGAACCGATCGTACGTTAGTATTAATCACTGAAGTTGGCGCCGTAACCTTGAAATCTCTAAAACGCCTCTGATAGGCTCGTTTATAAATTAGTCTCTCCGGAGAAACCTTAGTAAGCCTTGGGGATACCTCACATTGTCGTCATCATTCCAAAATTCACTCCCCCTTTAACCAAAACGTTTATATTAACGGTTCGATTGTTATTAACATAGTATTCCAGTCAGACTAATCTGGGTTTCCTTTCAACCTTCTGTACCCAAGTCATGTTACTTGTTCACAAATAAAATTTTACACTACATTAATTTTCTGGTGAATGTATCTACCATAGGTGCAACGTGTCTTACACCTTGGAAGGAAAGTCGCCGCTTGCACGTGTTGGTCATTCAACTCATGCTGTGCGCATGAAATGTAGGAACACGGGCAACCGACCACTGGTTATAATGATCGGGGGTGCAGATGCTTCTGGAGTATTTAATGAAGCTTACATTCTGGATATAATATCATTTATGTGGTACACTGTTGATTTGGAACAGACAATTGATTTTCCAGGTTTGGGAAGGTATGAACATAGCAGTGCAATTTTAAACAACCAGGTGCGTTGAATTACTGCAGTTCATGCACATTTCATATTTACTCACAAATCACTTTGGTTATAAAGTAAGTGGTATGTTTTCAGAACGATCATTTTATTCGACGTTAGATTGGTAATTTGAGCTTCCTAATTTTATAGCCTATTAAAATGCTGTACACAAATCCAAACAAGTGCATTTGGTTGCAAAAAATGGGTGTATTACTAATCAACTATTAAAATGGTAATATTCCATACTGCCAGTCTGTCCGAACATCTCATTTTCTCATGACCTAAAATGATAGACAAAATCATACTACGCAAACTAAAACCTATAAGTTAAGTAGTTCTAGTAGTCATATTTGTCATTATCACTAAACCAAAAGTTAAAGAAATAATATTGAGAAACGTGTAGGTATAAATTTGACAATAAATCCACTAATTTTGTGCCATTTTTGCTTAAAGCCACCTCCCTTTATTTTATAACTAATGGTTTCTCCGACTCATCTAGTCATTAACTTGACAGCATCCTACGTCGATGTAGGTAGTAGCCTTACTTAGACACCGCATACCATTCACTACGATTTTATGTTATTCTTAAGTAAACAACTTAAGTCACCATTTATCCTCCTGACGGATGGACTTATTCGAAATTTTGTAGACGCTGTGACTCACTAACTGATCATAACATTTGTGTTTGGAGTAGGAGAGATAATTGGTTGTCATGACCCAGTCAATGTAGATCAGTAACTGAGAATATGTTCGGGTACTACGGATCATCGTTGAACAACCGATTGTATGGAATTTTTCACTATAACTCGACTTCCTTGATTATGAGAAAGCATTTGACAGCGTGGATAGGAGAAACTCATGGAACCTTCTTCGACACTGTGGTATACCTGAGAAAACAGTCAACATCATCCGGATTTCATGGGACGGATTACAGTGCAGAATCGTGCATGGAGGATAGCTGACAGACGCATTCCAAGTGAGGACAGATAATGATGCTTAATCTCCCCCTTCCTTTTTCTCCCGGTGGTTGGCTGGCTTATGAAGACCTCTACACCTGATGGGAAGCACGAAATACAATGGACAGCTCGGATGCAACTAGACGATTTTGACTTCACAGATGACCTATTCCTTCTATTCTATATACTCTAACAAGTGCAGATAAGGACATCCAGTGTAGCATCAGCCTCTGCATCAGTATGTCTCAACATACACAACATAGGAAAAGCAAGCTCCTTGATTGCAACACGGAGAACACCAACCCAATCACACTTGAAGGAAAGACTCTGGAAGAGGTGAAAGCTTTCACATACCTGGAAAGCTTCAACAATAAACAAGAAGGACCTGATGCAGTGGTTAAGGTAAAGATAGCATTCCTACAGTTGCTTTTAGGTCAAGAAAGATCACCATTGTGGGACGCCGATAAGTATACCTGTGTCCTAGAACCTAACGAATGGTGAATATGTGGTTGATGCAGCCACGACCAGGTCTGAAACCAGCTTGATTCTCTCGTGTTTGCAGTTCACGAGTCTTAGTTACGCGTCCGATAATTATCGAGGCTAGTATTGTAGATACTATATTAGTTAAACTAATCCCTATATGGTTGATGATTTTGACCCTCTCTTATATATTGGGACGATAAGTGATTGTGACCAGTCAGATGGGATAACGTCCAACTCTCAGATTTTAGCTGAAATATCAGTCAACCTAATCACTAAACTTAGATCACCATCCTTAATGACCTCTTGAGCCAATCCATCTGGACCAGCTGCCTTTCCTCGTTTCAGATTAACTATAGCCTTCTCAACTTCAGCAAGAGTTGGGGGACCTACTTCAATGTTCTATTCACATTGTCTGGGGATGGATGGTAGTTGTAGAGTCGCTGAAGGCCAGCTGAACTGTTCCCTAAAGTGTTCCGCCCATCGTTCTAAACGTCTGGACTGGGAGTAGATGAGAGTATCGTTTTTTTCCGAAATAATCTCACTTACGCTTGACTTATTAATTCCAGTTTCTTTTATTAGTCTATAAAGCTGTCTTGTGTTCCCTATAGTCGCCGCCTTTTCCATCTCTTTTGCTTTCGTTGCCCACCACTGCTCACGGTCGTTTCTTAGACTTTTGGTTAACCTAGATCTGATTTGTTGTCGCTCTTCATCATGTTCGGAACCTGATGGGACGAGTTTGCGAGAATCCATCAGTGTGATAGACTTTGAAGAAATCCACTGGTTCTTTGTAACTCTGTGGTTTAAGTCACTAATAGATTTCATTGCTGTTTCCACAGCTGTTTGTATATTTTTCCAAGCAACATCTGGGTCAGCCTTGTTTTCAGAACTACCTAAGTGTGACCTCAGTTGTTCCTGGAACCTACTTTTGGTTTTTTCGCTACTCAACTCAGTTCTAATGGGTCTTTTTACTGTGGCTTTTTTGCGTCCAGTGAGGCGCAAGCAGATGCGTGCCCGTACTAGGGCATGGTCGGAGTCCAAGCAGGTACTCCAGAATGAGCGACAATCTTGTACCGACCCTCTCCAACGATGACTGATGGCAATATGGTCTATTTGAGTCCACCGTTGCAACCGGGGTTGTCATGTTAGACGATGTCTCTCCTTATGCTTAAAATTTGTTTGCTAAAAATAAACGATTGTCTGAGCACAGTTGCAGCAGACGATCACCATTATCTGTTCGCTGTGTCGGAATACTAAAATATCCACCTAAATGCCTTTCTGTTTGGTTTAAACTACCTATCTGAGCATTAAAGTCGCCCCCTACGAGTACTATGTCTGAGCGTTTAGCTTTCTGCAGAAGTTCGGACAGCTTTCTGTTAAATTCATCTTTCACTTCATCTGAGCTACAGTCAGTGGGAGCGTAGGTGAAAACGAAAAAAAGGCAACGACGTGTGTCCCTATCCTTCCGAGTTCTTACGGATCCGTTTTGCCGAACAGCACATAAACGACTGTTAACGGGGATCCACTCTAACAGTGCTTGTTCCGCCCTCATGTTTAGTGCTATGCCTACACCTGCCAGTCCACGAGAACTGGCCATCGAGTCACCAGATACACGGAGGGTGTATCTCGTTGGCTCTCCGTTTTGCTGAGATGAGGTCAAGTGAATGACCACACTAGGATCCTGTTTGCGTATTTTAGAGACACAGCATACATCAATGTTACGGGATTCTAGGGTTTTAGCCAAGGAGACCTGTTGGTCAATTTCACATAGGGTGAGTACGTTGAAGGCTCCAATGTGTAGTTTGCAGCGAGGTTTCAGTAGAACTGAGACAGAGTTTTGCGCACTGGGATCGTTGGCTATGGTGACACTTGAGGGGGGAGCCGAAAACGGAAGTTTAGAGGTAAAAGTCGATGTAGGAGGAATAATAGGAATTGAAGAGGGAGGTTGATTATGAATGCAGTGGTCTTCAGTGCTGTTAGAGGTATGAGGGCAGTTATCGCTTCCCAGTTGCCCACATAGTGGAAGGGTCCTTCTGAAGGTACCTGAGAAGGAAATCGGATTAGAGGTGGTCTCAGTGATAAGGCTAGACGTGCATTTTTAGGGTCGACATTTTCTAACCCAACCCTCCTTGTAGGAAGGTAGCATGGCTGTTTTGCTGGTTGTCTGAAGGAAACATCTTACTGTTGTCACACCTCTGTATAGTCAGCAGTACGACTTCGCCTTCGGACCTCGAGTTTTTTGCTTTTAGTCTTACTGCTCTTCAACCGACCTGGTTGACATGGTAGGACCTTGAGGAACGGTTGTTCCAGCCAGTATAGCTCGGTTGCTTCATCACGATAGGCAAGGTAGCAACAATAACATGTTAACCACTGCGCTACCGTTCTATAATGCATATGGTTTTTACTTCACACTTTGATTTTTAATAAATCAGACAATGAGGTATTACTGTTATTTCATGAAGGTATGTGACTGAACTCGAAAGTCACATGAACAAAGAATAATTATAAAAACACTTGATAGTTATCTAAAATAGTCGAATAGTTGATATGAAACGTGCCTACTTAATTCGAACGAAGGTTTAACAACTACAATTGTCGGTAGGTTACAATGAACATAGAACATGGCGAAACGAAATTATGATGAATAGCAAGGAAATCGAAATAATGTTGTGGCAACTATAATCCGAAAATTGGTTTGAGAAAAAGAGTCGAAGTATGTATGAAGGGATTGTGGAGTGATAAGCTAAAGAAAAATAATTAGCGATTTCGTCGACACCATTGTGACTGACTCTGAGATGTATTACCCAACACATCTAACCACTGACTGGAGTTATATATTTTTCTAAATTATCGATTTTGTCTTCCCATTTGAATTTAAATCTTAGACAGTATTCCTGTAACCAGTCTAGATAATCATTCAGAAGAAACGATGTGATAAGTGGAGATGTATATAAAAAGTCGTGAATTTGTCTAGGCTTAAAAATTGTAAACAAATAAAAAAGGAAGTATGAGTTTAAAGTTTTACGTTTGGTGACCTAGATCTCGTGGCGCACATTAATCGTAAGACCCAAACCAATTATATACCATTTAAGCGATTCAAAAGATAGAATGCTCAGTTCAGAAATTATGTCTACAGTAACGTTGCATTAACCGGTACAAAAGTTTATGGTGAATGTCAATGAGTGTGATAAAATGTAAATATTCAATCATATATATATATATATATATATATATATATATATATATATATATATATATATATATATATATATATATAGTTTTGGTTCGGTAGAAAATGTTACTTATCGTTCATGTATCTGAATGAATGTTTTCTAGGAATTATTAATATTTGGTGGTGCAACGAAAACAAGTCCTTTGAGTCAACTACTCCGTCTACAAATTCATTGTCTATCAACGCCAGAAAATCCATCAATTTATGAAAAGGACAGAATCACTGCAAGCTTAACTCAAGATCGCATTCATACTGATATTCAACAATTCATCTATCATCCTCGCACACAACACTCTTCTGTTTCACTAACTGAATATAATCAACTCATAGTATTCTCTGGTGGGAATGTTGGTAGTCAGCCAGTGTCAGATGATAAAGTAACTACCCATTGATTGAATCTACTTATTTGATTTCTTTTGACCACATTTAATGCATACTATATAGGGAAAAGTACATTCATGAAAGAAAAATCTTTGTTTTTATTATCGTTTTGTTGAGAGGTAGGATATGTGTATTGCTCTTAAGCTGATGGTTCCAGAGTCTCTAATAAAAATTTTAAACTGATGGCTAAACATTATTTCATAGATTTTACTTCTTGAAAATATACGCATTATGATATTCTTCATAATGTCTGTCTTGGAACTAACTCCCCAAATAAGTAAATATGTGTAGCCATATATTCGTTGCTGTTTGTTACTAGTTTATTAAACATCTTTATGTAACTGGTTTGTAAACGGTGTGAAAAACGCCTAAACAGTCGTATTATATAAATATTGACCAGTAAGTAAACAAAATAATTTCCTAAGGGAATAAACTGAATTTATTTAACACATAGTATAGAGAAAATTGCAATATGTTTTAGTTGAATATTATAATACATATCTCTAAGAAATAATATTGCAATAGAAGGCTAATTCTATGTTTAGTCATATGGGGTTTGGATGAATAGCATATCCAGTTATGCTAATAATATATTGAATCGTATTTCCATATAGTCTTAGCTATTCACTAGATCGAGTTATTGATGTATGTCTCTAGTGAACTGATATCAGAAAACAATAACCACTATCCAGATGAATAGTTTCTTAGAATAAAATAGTTCGTTTATGTGTACAATATTAGCGCAGAAATAAACATGATTAGATTCTATACACGGTCAGCGGACATCAGTTTTGTAGGTCACTTGTCAAGGGACTAGGATCTGACACAAATAGGGTAAACCACACAGTAACAAAAAATATTTATATATATTTCATAACTCTCCAAATTCTTGTCTTCTTATTGTTATGCCCTTAACTATACGATTATCGCTAAATAATGACTCATACACCAGTACGAACAACGTAGAGTACTGGTTGGTTCTTTTCCCACCAAGTCCTCCCTGTTAAATCCAGAACACCAATATCAGCCTCCACGATATGAATCATTTATTTCAAACATACTTGGTTTATATATAAAACAAACAGAACACATCACACCGTAAAGAAAAAAAATTTGTACAAAATCATGCCAAAATTGGCTGTGATTGTGGGGGACCGTAATTAATGAACTGAGCATAAATTAAGAATGGTAAGTCATATGATAATAGTTCATAGGTTATAATAAAGCTCATAATAAAACGAATATATATATATATAATATTAGTTTATAAATAAATCCCAATATTTATCATTCATTATTGCCATCGAGATATAACACTTATATTCGTTTTCTTAACTTATCTTAAAATCTTAGCAATAATTTCAAATGACTCCCTTGTTCATAAAACATTGTTTGTATGAATGCCCAACTAGGTGAACTTATACAATGCAGCTTATAAATAATGGATTAAAGAGAAATTAACTTTTCACTAATGCATTTTCATATAATTATAACTATGAATCACTTTTTTAAAAGATTATGTAAACATATTTCTGAAACTTATGGCTTATTTAGTGTACTTTTGATTGTGGGTCATTTTTTTTAATAATCAGTATTGGATTTACCAGTTTAATTTTTTTTAAAGACATTTCTGTTCATAAGTTTATTCCAGAATATCAAAAAACCTAAATAATTTAATGTATTCTATATTAGGATATATATAGAAAGTACAACTTAAATCAGTCCACAGTTAAGATTACCAAATAACTACACTGAAAAGCCAGTAGAATGAAGAAAATTTTTTTGCCAATATCATTTATTCAAGCTGTGCAATCATGTTTATGACTAATTTACAATTAAAATGGTCTTCTGAAAAATTGGAGAACGATTGCATCATATCACGTATCATATAGTGTCGCTTAACGATAGAGCATTTGACGAAGGATAGTAAGGTAAAGGATAAATCAAAAATGTGAAGGTGGTAATAATGAATTATTAAGATTAAAGAGTTTAGAAACAATAGAAGGATATAATAAAATCAAATTGCCATGTGTGAAAAGTGTGTGTTAGGGCCATAGAAAAATGATGGTTTGCATGTGTCTGTTTTTACATACAGAATTCAAGTTTGGAAAGGTGGATTACTAACACCTTTACATTGCACAAATTATTGATTAGTACTCCCCTCAAACCAAATTATTTGAAGGATATATCCAGTGGCGTCATGCGACCATAGTTCACATGATATTCCAGTATTGAGCTATTGATAGTTTTAAAATCGACTTCGAGAACCAGAAAGGATAATGTTCAGAGATGCGTTTGAAAATCACTCGCATTACGTAGCCAATTTAACGTGTTTCATACAGCAAGACGAATGTACATACTATATTTAATTAAATTTTTGAAATCAAAGTTTTCTCTACAAATAAGTGTATATTTATTTTAAATTACTTATTATTTCTCTTTAGGTTTATATGTATGATAGTGAAATAAATTCATGGAACATTATACCAGTGGAAGGTTTACCACCTTGTTCACGATTAGGTCATTTAATACTATATGAATTTCCTTATGAATTAGCAAATTCAAATTATGAACGTATCCCAAAAGGTAAAATGTATATACACGGTGGAATGGTCAATGAAAAACTACTTGATGATATTTATGTATTAAATTTTACTAATCAAGTGAGAGAAATTTATTAGAATATTATACAAGAAAATACTTTCTGTATATGTTAATTGTTTAATAAAGCATAGACAATATTACATTTCAATAGTTTTAGAAATATTATATTTAACTGCTTGTCAAAATACTCTCATCTATAAGTTTTTAGTGGTCTTCATTTATTAGATGATAATAGCTCAATGGTTATGATTATATTATGTTGGCTTTTATATATCAAAATGGTGTTTAATCAAGATGATATGATGATTCATAGATGTAAATAATTATGAACTCTTTGTCTTTAATTTGTTGAAAGAATGTTTAAACTGACAACATGTTAATTGAAATGGAGTTCCAAGTTATTGATTTTCAGTTGCTGATGTAGATTATTCTAAGTTCTTACTAATCTAAAATCTTTCAAAAGAATTTTCTTCGCCACTTTTTTTCTTTTGGAATAGTGGCAATAAATATTTCGGAAATAATCTTAAACGATGACCATAGAAACTCAAGATTTTGGCGAGTTAATATTGTATATTAGTAGTAACATATTGTCAAGCTCACTTTTTTGCTATTCCAAGTTGGAATTTCTGAAAACTAATCCAAGGTGTAGTTCAGTTCAGCTGTTTATTTCCTTAGGCTTCATCTTTTATCAGCTCTGTGATGTAACAGATAAGGCTTAGACTCCTAATTTTTGTACGAAAACACGTATGGGGATTACTTAGCTCTCAAAAATGAACATCCAGCATTTGCCTACACTGTATCACTGAAGCGCATCTGTCGTTAGTAATTTTACGCATTCATTATAATAATTCATAATTCGTTCTTCAAATCACAAAGTTCTCTCCCATGACAGTTTCTCAAAAATGTAGTCACTTGTTTTAATATTGTTACCTAAAATTATTTCACTGATACCCAATTATAAATAAGCGTTTATTTTCATTATTTTCAGTCTGATAATAATTTACACTTCAAAGGTATATGGAACAAACTATATCCGACTGATAAATTATCACCACTCACTATTAATCATGATAATGCGGAAAGTGAGCGTGAATATTTGGACCCAAAATGTCTTGAACTTACACAGATTCCATCTCCAAGTCCACGTGCTGCTCATGGCGGAACAATTTTAACAAATAAAATTTATGAACAGGATACCAGTAAAATATTAATATTTGGTGGATTGTCATTAAATGGAGCGTTGAATGATATGTTCTGTTTTGATACAAGTTAGTGAAAATGTTAATGACCATAATAATACTTAGAACTCAATCGCATAAACCGTGTATAGGATAAGCTTATTGAAAATTTAAATACAAATTCAATGAATTTTTTGGATGGGTCTCTTTTGTTCTAATTAATACTTCCAAAAGGAATGAATTAATCACATTTCGTGAGTCTTGTCATCTATCATGGGTTACTGGCAAGCGAACTTTCAGAACGGATTCTAAAAGCTGGCGACGTTGCTCCATTTACGGCACAGGACAGAGTAAACTTTGTAGCAAACCCTTTTTGTATTTTTGTAAGCCTATAAAATGAAAATATACGACATGTGTAGATGACAGTTTTTGATCACAACTGTCTTCAGTCAAATATCTCATTGTACCAATGTGGGATGTATCAACTCATACATATTTGTATCAGATTCTACTTTGACTATGAGTGTCTTACTGCACCGAGTGATGTATTTCTAAATGTTCCATGTTCTGGTTTCGAGCGCTTAGTTTCGTAGGCAAGTTATCGCCTCAACTAAATCAGTTATTTCCACATTTTATCAAACTAGTTGTCTTCATTTACATTGAAATAATTTCCTTTTTTCTTAACGTCCAACCTTTTTTTTCAATTAGGTACTAGACAATGGACTGAAATTAAATATGAGACTTCTGTATTACCGAGTCCACGTTTAGACTTTGCTTATTGTACATTCTCATTAATCGTTAAGAAGGATACAAAAGAAAACTCACCGATGAAAATTATATTTAAATCACCAAAAGGTATTTATACTTTCTATGATATATATATCCCTGAGATCCGTGTATATTTCCTGACAGTGGTAGAATGAATTTCAGTCTATAGGTATGATCAAGTTAATACAATTACATGATTTCTAAGTAGTTACCAATATCTACCTATACAATTTCACTAAAATAAGACTTGTGGTGATTAAATTTTGTCGTTAGGCTACTTGACAAATGCATATTTGTGTGTTTGACTGCTAGCCATACTGAATGTGGGGTAGAGCAGGTGATACCGTCCGTCTACTCAAACAGGAGTACGAAGCTCATGTCTAGTGGTTGTAAGTTGAATGTATAAGTCATTATGTTTAACTTGACTTTAGCAGGCTAAAGTATTTAGATTTTGTGGTTGTTAGTATTGTGTAATTAAATTAATTAATGGTTGTTTATTTTATACTGTAATGATTGGTTCTCAATTTGATTGTTATCTAGTTGTAGAAATTGAATCACTGTGAATAGGTTCCTGAATTTTTAAAGTGTTTTACTTAAATAGATCATCTAAAAGTACTCAGTTTCTTATTATTTAGTCTTTTGTGTTGATCAAATTCTGTTGGTCAAGTGACTCAACATCGTTGTGTACACTGTTTCGGAAAAAATTTAGTAGAAAGCACTAAACGCACTTAAATAGCGTCAAGTATTTTTTGTTTTTGTAAAGTCATATCTAAAGCCCTGAAAATATTTTGGAATATAGATAGAACGGAATATTTAACCCCATTAACTCTTATATACAAGTCACTTGGTGCATAGTTTGGTAAATGAACGTAAATATGTTGTGATTTGTACTGTTATGCTTTTGAACGTAAATGCACATGAACAGTCCTACTGATGATTATTGACTGGTTTAACAGCTAAATTAACTTTCAACCAACATTCCCTACTTTTTAATCTCGATGCAACAATCCTGCTTCTAATGGATACAATTAGTTAACTTAATTCTACTTCGAATGTTCATATTTTAAGTAAAAAGGGGATACAATAGACTGATTTCGTTTGTCACCTATCCATTAAACTATGTCTAATACTGGGCGATTTTCAACTTACCGTATAAATCATCTTTATATTTGACAACCTTTGGGTTTTGAAATATTTTTCCTGGTAACAGGAATTCGATTTCTTAAACTGTTGTATTTTATTACTGTTATTTTCTTCAGATAATCAATATCACGATGATATCGTTAATACTGATGAGCATGAAGATAACAAGGATAAAGATCAATACTGTCAAGAGTATTTATTTATTCACGGCGGTATGGATACTCATGGTTCTGTGTTTGATGATTCTTATCTTATTCTACTAAGTGAATATCAACTTTCTAATCCACTAAATGCTCAAACAATTATCCACCGAAGTTCTTCACATGGAAAATGTTAATACTTGTTTGCAGTAAATAAAATATTAATCTGCAATACATTATAAAACCCTCAATGCATGAAATTCCAAACGTCTATATGTATTCCTACACAACTTCAGAATAATTAAAATTTCATAAATAGCTTTTTTTTAAACTTTAGACAATTGGATGTTTCTGTTGACTAGGTATTTAGGACATAATTCCAACTGGACATTCTGTTCTAAATATGTAACTCATTTTTTACCGTTCATCTTTTTTATTTAAATAAAATTATTGATTATTCTACTCTTATCTATTGTTCTCCTGTTGTTCATAGTTCTTAATTTTCTTCTGTTTTATAAGATTGTATATAGGGTTTATTTGATCATGGATTTCCTATTGAATTTGAAATATGCGCAATCATTAGTAATAAAAAAACACTAGCTGCTATCTTTGCTTGGGACGGAATGTTCGCTTATTTCCACCATCAATATTTAGGTAATTAACTACAGTGTCTTCGAGGTAAATATCTTAAAAGTGTCATAAAATTAATCAGGAATAAGTACCAATGTATAAAATTAATTCCTGATTAAAATAATGAGAAAGCACGGTACAAACATATGAGGTAGTCGAATAAATTTACGCTGTTACGACTGAATTTGTGCCATTCAACCGTAATATCTAACGTATACTCCCAGGAGCTTACTTGTGCCTGAAAAGCTCAAAGCAATTATGAGTGATTAAATGCATATTATCCCAAGAATTGTTTACTACTAAATGGTTGTAAATCAAGTTAACCGAGAGTTAATATATTTATACTACTTACTATTGATAAGTAGCATAATTTAAAACGGTAATTTCTACGGAAAGCTGAGTAATCAAGTTAAATTGTTTTCTAAATAAAACACAAGCTGTGTGGCTATTGATTTTAGCCGCCGGAAACTTGAATATGCTACAAATTCACCGTAGAAGAGACGAAAATTAGTATTTGTGTAATTGTATACAACAGGTCTCATGAGGATTAATATTTGATTTCATTATAAGATTGGAATATTTATTGTTAGTGAAAGAAGAATTAAATTATAAAATCTGAAGAATATCGTTATAGATGTATGATCATCTCCACCAGAGTGAATTTGTTTCACAAAATGATAATAAACCAGGGAGAGGAATAAAATCTTCCAGTCAGTAATGGTCACTTTTATAAATGTTTGGTATGGAAATGTTTGCATTCTGATATATATTATAACGCGGAAATAGAAATATAAGCTAATGAAAAGAAGTTAGTGGAAATAAAGTATGTTAAAAACCTTTTTATGAATAAACTTCCAGTGTTTTATTTAAGGAATAATGAAGCCCTCTGAATTGAGATGAAATGAAGAAAGTAAACACTTAGCTGACTTTTTATTTGGCTTATTTTAAGAACTGTGATTCTGTGAATTCAGCCATATTTTTTCAATGGAATAATTAATTTTGGTTGGTCGTTATTTACAAATACCTTTACGAATACCTTCTGAATCTAATTCAGTTATTCAAAGGTGTTATATTATCAATAAAGCTTCAGGGTCACGGTCTTGATCTCATATACGTGGGCGCTTCTGAGGAGCTTCATATAGGGATGAAATAGTCGACCAAAGATTCTCATTAAAAATAGTTTATCAGAGAATTTCAACTCGTGATGGGGATTATTTTTAAATTTTATAAAAATATGTTAAATTATAATATATATGGGCATTTATTTATACATAGTACTATTATGAAGAATATTAAATTGCACACAAAGCAGACTTTGCGTCAATTACGTTTATGGCCAGGTGAATAATAGTTCATTTATTTGACCACAACTGAATCATTAGGAAATGCTTTAATGAACTCAACAATTTGGAAAGACAAAAACAATCCATATACGAGTTTTGTACATAATTGAGTATATATGAGTTTGATGTCATTTCCATGTTTAAAAACCACTGTTTTTACCTGTTTGTATACAAAAGGTAAAAACTACCATAAATTCAAAATAACGATTGTTAGTTCCGTGCAGTTAATTGTTTACTTGGCTTTGTTAAAACTAACATTGAAAAGGATTAGTTTATACTGACACTATCACCAGTTTGTACTAAATGAGCCAATATCTAGCTGTTCACGTTCTTCACCAAACCTTTGTTTAGCCACACTGTGAAGTGTTCACGATCACGAAAATATAAATTCTTAGAACTTCGACCAATATAACATGCTCCACAAGAGCAGTCGAACTGACAAATACAAAATGGAGTGATCATTCTAGGTAATTCATCTTTTAGCCTGGGTGTCACCACTGGGCGCGTAGAAAACACTAATCGTAGTTCTCCGTTTTGAAAGATTTTTGTATTGTCCTGCGTAATCCCTGAGTTAATATTTCACTAGCCGCATCCACTCTGAATTCTAGGCTCATGAATAGAGATCTCTTCATCACCATTTGTATTTCGCCTATTTTCAAATCCGTGATCATATATTCAGTCATAAACTTTCTAGAGTAACCGTTCTCTCTAAGAGTATTAGCTCATCTTCAACTATATCCGCAGAACATTTAGCGCGTATTCGCTAACAGTTTTGACCGGTTTTCGTTTGTACTAACATTGTTTACGATATTATAGGTTTTCATTTCCTATTTGGTTACTCTAATTTGATAACGGCTGTAGTTTGTTAATATTCTATTATCCGAATGACTTGAAGTGAAATAGTGCAAAATCCCCGTAGTTACTATAATTCGCATCCACTATTGTCATCATTTTCTGCGCTCGATTTCATACTATTGACAAGTAGTATATACCTGATAGTGCAAAACGTTTCTTATTGTTACAGGTGGAAGAAAATTAACGAGCAATAGTAGAGGTGATGTACTGACATTTGATAAATCTTTCAGACAAAGGTTTTCTTTCTAGATAAGCACTAACATTTACCGCTAGATTTAAAAAAATAAGTAACTGAAAACGTCATTATTTGAAAATGAACCAATATTGTATTAGTCATATGTTACATCTTGATATATTGCATCGAAAGTGATTCATGTTCGAATATTATTTTGTGATTCAGCGACACCGTGACTCAGTATATCATATACATCTGTAATTAAAACATCCTCTTAAACACTTAAGCAAAATAAATCTATTAACTATTTGCAATGCTAAAATATATAAACATAAGTTTAAGATTGTTGACAATGTTTATGAATGCAGAATCACTAATATAGAACTTTACAATAGTAATATCAAGAAACGTAATTTACTTCTTTAAATATGCCATTGTATTCATTGTGCGGAGCAAACAAAAGCCTTATTTAAAATTCGGAAGTGGATGAAGGTTCCAATTTTAGGCTGGGGAGCTATTATAATCACTAATTACAAGACATTTGTTCTCTGCCTCAGTTACGTATACTCTCTATGCCCTGCATACGGTAGCGTTTGAATGTGGTCGATTCCATACCACGTAGATCGGTTGATATGCAGTGCTGAAACTAGAATGAAATAGACATTCGAGGTTTAATAAAATTAAGCACAATTATGAGCTTACTTGTGATCAAATTTAAAAGTTAATTCTCGAGATTATAGTTAGAATATATGACCAATAGAGTTTAACTATGTCAAGAGTGAAATAAATATCACTGATGCAAGTGGATGATGGTCACAAATTTGTGCAAATTGACTGGAGTTAGAAGTACAAACAATTGAATGCTAACTCAGTGATATGAAGACCAAACTCTCATTAAGAGGCGTCAAGATCTTGATTTAGAACCCTAGATCGGTATGAATGGTGAATGCCGAGGAGCCCGATGCTATGATGAAAGAGCTGTCAAATACTTAGTTGGATTAAGCTCAATGAGCTATCAACACCGAAAAGATTTATTCAATAATTTGCTAAAACGGTCCTTACTGATAAGGAACATACGGTAATAGGTTAGATTATCACGATTTTAAATAAACCTACTTCTATAAGGATATTTGAGTTGTTGCTGATGACCTACGGACAGAATTAACTATGTAGCTAATTCTACTAAGATTTCAACAATAAATTTATCCACTCTAATATTAGTTAAAAATCGCCTGTTTTCCTTTTCCTCATTTTCCTTTCTTCTGTATTAATTAGCAGATATTGACAAATATCACCAGTGACACTAGATGATGGTTCCACAGTATTGCAAACTGATTAAAGTTAGACATAAACCATTGGATCCTGACTTAAAGGTCTTAAGGTTAGACGCGAGACCTGAAGGTTTCGATTTCGATCCCTAATGGAGTCGTCGATGCATAACACTTAAGAGTTCCATATTAAACGAAAACATTTTCCATTACTTCTTGATTTTCAATGGTTTTCTAGCTAAGATCAGTCCTTGATAAAAACTAAGAAATTTGACCATCGCCACAACACCCCACAAAAAAGGACAAGAGTTTTCTTGTTCATTTTATTTAATTACTATGTTTTAAGTATTTCGTTTTGTATGATGTTTAAACCGTCAGATTCGTCCAACTATAAAAACCTTGTTATGTCTATGTTTGCTTGTATGTATTGAGACCAATGCAAGTAATCGGGGATATATTTTTTTCTGGGCCAACTAGTGTTAATAGTTATTACGTCTGACTTCGTAAATTAATATGCTTGTTTTCTTTAGTGAGTCTTTTCTTTTTCTCATCACCCAAGTAGTAAGCAACATGGTTACTCATAGTTACCATTTGATGTGAATTGCTCTACGTAACATTTTGATTAAAACTGAGGATATTGATCGTTGGATTGTGGCTCAGTGGAAGGACGGTATAATTGTCACTATGAGACATACTAGTGGGTATGATCTCGTCTGACATCTCTGATGCTAACCATTTAATGTTCTCGATCAAAAACGATAGAGCGGATCACTATTCTATTACGTAAACTAGATCTCTGTATACTGTAGTTATTTGTGGGGCATTATTTTAAAAACAAACCATATTTGTCATTAACTGACCGTATTTAAAATGAAATTAATGAAAAATTCCATCTGATCGTATGATTCAAACTTTATCAGAGGAAAATCTCCCACACAATACTGTCTTATAAACTTTAGATATATTTTATTTCCAACAATGATAAATTTATCAATCATAAAGCGATAATTCTCTCTTCGTTTAAACCCTAAATAATAAATGTTGCGTAAATAATATACCCATATGTGCATGGGCATATGTATTTTTGCATCAGCATAGCTTTCGAAAACATTTATTCAACTAATGAAAGATTGTTATCTTTGCCTTCTTAAAATAAACATGCCACACAAGCAAAGAAGCCTTGAACTAGTTAATGG